GTGGAATGAAAAGCGTTCGTTGGGATTTAGACTGCCGGTTTGAAAGATGAGTTTTTGTTCAAGATTTTTACGGCTTTCCGTGCTACCTAAGTGTAAGGAAAGACCGCACATTGCCATATGTTGCTTAGAATGATTAGGTAAATTAAAATGTCTAGCGACTGGTTTCGATGTGTCCTTGTCATTCCTTTCCACGTCTCGAAGGTGTTCTCGGAATCGGTCACCTCACCTAGTCTTCTGCATGTTTCGCCGATGTATATCTTTTTGCAATAAGTGCAATTTATGCAACAGATTACATTGGCTGGGAGGTGCACGTGAAGCGATCGGTGATCTTAATGAGTCGTTTAGGTCCCGATATTTTATCAGTGTTGGGAATGAAAGGACACGTTTTGCATCGTGCACGAGCGCATTTAAAAGTGCCTGGTTGGTCATTAGTCTGAAAAGAACTTCTGACCCAAAAAACTGCCTATGTTTTTGTCGCGTTTGAATGAAATGAGCGGAGGCTGCACAACCTATTTCGGTGTAAATTTGATTGGTTTCTCATGTGATCTATTGTTGCTGAGCCTACCAGGGGTTTACGTTTGTACTTGAGTGGTTACTTTTGCACTAGTGATACATGAAAAAGACACCTAGCTATTTTCAGCCAATTAAGAGTGTAATTTTTCACGTATATCGGTATTGCGATGAATTAACCAAAACCAAAGAAGTAAATGAAAAGGAGTTGTCGTCTACCACATAAAGACCTAATACACATGTATTGTTGCCAATTTTAAATATTAATGACTTTGTTCATCTGAACCATTATGAAGAGAATTTAGAGGACTGCTAGCTTACAGGAAGTCCAGAAATGTTAAGGTCTGAATAATTTTAGGTATTACTTGGAAAACATAAGAATAACAATAATCACAATAATGATCAACATTAAACTACTTATAGCAATGGAATATAAGTATTGTAGAAAGTCATTTGTGAAAACCAAAACATCACATCATTCCACATTTTGTGTTATCCAAAACCTTGTTACAATAACTGGCAAGTAAAATATTTTTAAATAGAACATCATAAGCATTAAATTCCAAAAAATATCCTTAAAACATGATAAGATATCCTTTGTTTTTACGAAATTGTCATAAAAGCCAATCCTTGACCGGTTTTGTACAATCGAGATTCCCATACTTTCTTTCGTCGTTTTGAAATATGCCTCCGTGAATCCTCAACAGTGCAAGAAAAATGCAACTACAATACAACTTAATTCACTTTATGGCGCTTCCAGGAGGCTTCAGAGAGTTTCAAACACCTTCAAACTCTTTCAGAGACTGAGTGGTGCAACCCGCACCGATAGATCAAACCGATAGTTGCTGGCTTGCGAGAGTGCAACGACTCCTTTCAGTGTAGTCAACTCGTAACGAAGATTCAAGCTGTTAAATGTTGTCTTTTGAGAGCGTAAAAGCTCTTGCACAAGCTGCAGTGATAACGCAAGCCGGATCTAGGTGCGTTGGCCTGTGTGAGGAGAATTGACTAGTCAAACAATCACCTGAAAAAAATTACTCGAGACCACGCTTACAACCAAGATGGCAGACTCAGACGAGTACGCCTTACGACACTAGACCACGTGACATACGTTTGACTCTCGTCGACAAATAAATCAATCAATCAATAAATAAATCCGATCGTGCCATAGTGTGGCTACACACTTTGTGTAAGCCACACAAAAAGGATTGGTTTTTGTTACAAAACTTACACCTGCAACTCGTTAATTTTCCCAAAACAGGTATTTAAACACATTTCTTGCCCGGTTGTTCTAGATTGCAATTCAATCTGGAATTTGATAGATGAAGAGCCCCTAAGTGCATGTGCTGCCACTTACACCGTTTTTTTCAATTCATTAAAACCCAATTTAGTTTGTTTAAATTTCATGTCTTTAAAAACCCACCAAAGTACTTAAATTGATAAAAATAAATCTTTTTCTTTAACTTCCCTGAAAAACTTAAACTTTCCCTGTTTTAAAGTGAAATTCCCGACTTTTTCCTGACCTTAAAGAATATTTTTATTCCTGATCAATTCCTTGACCTTTGGCCACTAGTCAAGGTAAAGAAAAAGCTGTACTTGAGCAGTGCAGCGATAAGAAATCGTGATTTAGACTACAATGCTCGAATGACGAAAAAAGTTTAAAAGCATCGCGAAAGCACAAAATTGCGGTTGGCGACTAAATTAGACTTATATATATGAAGACCACCCCATAAACCTTTTTCTTGCAGCTTGCATCATGATAAATAACAGTTGCATCGAAAGAAAGTGGATTAAAAATAAACTTCATAATTTTTTTTAATTGCGGAAAAAAGCATTTGCTAATCTAAACTTAAATAGACTATGAGCAGTCCCTCCTTTTCGAGGAAGTCCGTCGCGGGAGTTTAAAAAATATCAGTTCAAAAAATAAAGAAAGTTATTAGTGCGCCGCGGAAAACTCTTGAAGTGATGCCGATGCGCCGTAAGAGCTCCATAA